GATATATTTATAGAGAGCAACCATATCTCCCCTCAACCTTCTTTTGGTTAGGCTAAAAAAGCCAAGCTCTTTGAGTCTCCCTTCATAAGATAGGTTTTCCATTCCTCGGATCAACCTAGTAGCCCTTCTCTGTACCTGTTCCAGTTTGAATTCATCCTTCTTAAACATGGGAGACCAGAACTGCACACAGTATTCCAGATGAGGTCTCACCAGTGCCTTGTATAACGGGACTAAAACCTCCTTATCCCTACTGGAAATACCTCGCCTGATGCATCCCAAGACCGCATTAGCTTTTTTCACGGCCATACCACATTGGTGGCTCATAGTCATCCTGTGGTCAACCAATACTCCAAGGTCCTTCTCCTCCTCTGTTACTTCTAATTGATGCGTCCCCAGCTTATAACTAAAATTCTTGTTATTAATCCCTAAATGCATGACCTTACACTTCTCACTGTTAAATTTAATCCTATTACTATTACTCCAGTTTACAAGGTCATCCAGATCCTCCTGTATGATATCCCAGTCCTTCTCTAAATTGGCAATACCTCCCAGCTTTGCATCATCCGCATACGTTACACTGCAGTCCTGAGACTCTCTAGAAAAGAGACTGCCAAGCATGCCATCCCAGTAGTGGTTTTGTTATTGGCACCAATAGGAGCTAGAAAACAGCCCTCCTTGGCAGAGAGATCCCAATGGGAGCATGGGATAAGTGATCCAGTGCGAGCATTAATCTGAGTTATGGTGTTATGTATGAGCTGCGTGTGTTCTCCTTATGCATCTCTGTGAAAATGGGCCACTTGGTTCCTAAAGTTTTGACAAGCCCTCATATATTGTGTGGTTTGCTGCTAATTTGCTGCTTCTCCCTCTGAGCTATTTCAAGTTGAAATCTTTGCAGAAGAGCATCACAACAGCAACGCAAAGCTCTGAGCGATGAGATTATATTGGAGAATGAATTCAACTTTTCTCAGCAGGAATTGAGCATTCGGCAGAAGTCAGGTAATAGATCTCGTTTGGAAGAGGGGAGGCACTAGCAGGTTTCAGTGCTTCCGCTGGATAACAGAGGGCTGCATGGAGTGAATGTGACAACTTAAGTAGTCTGAAAAATTTCAGAGCACAGCAGCAGTTATACATGAAGATACATGCACTGAAAATTTGCACTGTTTTCATATCCATGTGCAAGTCAACATAGCTTTTATACATTTAAATATGCCAGGGGAACTGTCTGTTCAGAGAAAAAAAATCTACCAAGTTAAAATGGTTAGCAGAGTGTAGCAAGTCCCAAGCGTACAGGACATTGCAGGATACTGCATTGTCTGCTGACTAAAATAACTTGGGAATTGAAGCATGTCACCCTAATCACACCTGCAGCATCATCTCATGTGCGTATGTGTGCGTTAAATGGAGACGACACATTACGCAAGTTTTTGAAAAATGGAGACAAACTGCGGGTACAATTTATAAATGTGCAGGTCCTGGCAGGTGGCACTGGTTGGGTACTATGGTATCACGACATGTCCCAGGCGCACAGTAAGTGTAGGTAGTGCTGCATGAGGACCTGCTCCCCAGCCAACTTTGTGGATTTCTTCTTCTGAATAGACAATTCCCATCAAAGGTTTTACAGGTTTTAAAAGCTTTGGGTTTTGTTTGTAGAGGCAAGTTGCCAGTCTTCAATCTGCCTTTCCAAACAAACATTCAGCTCAGCAATCAGATGCGGGAATGAGCAGTAAACCCAGAGCGGCAACCATAGCTAGTGTGGGCAGGCTCTCGGGAATTGCACAAGTCAAAGGCCCTGGGATCCTGCAGGACAACCACACTTCTAGTGTCCTGGTGTAGTAGTAAGTGTCTCACGTCAAAGCCTGTGGCTTTGTATGGCAGATGTCACCACAGAGGCTTGGAACTTAACTTTTGCCATCACTCTAACTTCACTTCCACTATTGTTTCCTTGCTCATTGGGACAGTTCCTGAACCTTATCCACAATGTGACTAACAGCATGTATGCTGGGGAAGTTCAGCGGGAGGAAGGAATCCTTTCTCTTAGGCTACACTGACCTGTGGTTCACACTGCAGCCTCACAACTGGTGTAGTCCTTGTGGCTGTTGTGTTCCCTCTCACGAGACGAGTCAGCTAGTGCATCTGATTGGGGTGGAGACAATGGATCTACAACAAAGTCCTCTGCGCTGGAGCAGTGGGAGGGCCTGAGAGCACAAGTCTTTGGCATACACAGGTTGATGAGCCCTTGGCTGGGCTCACTGCATCCTTCCCTTTGTCCCGTACACAAGACTAACACTGGTTCCTCTGTATTCAGCACCATCAGAGAAGGCAGATTTTATCCTTATGGAAGCTACGAAACAGCAGATACTGTTGCCTACAGTTAGGCAAATATGTTCTTGTGCAATTTCTAGACCATGGCCATACAAAGACCCTTTACTGTCTGGGTGAAAGGGAGGTTCCCAAAACCTGTATCTGGTTTCTGCACACTTTTCAGCACTCCCCACAAGTCCACCTCTACGTCACCTAGCCCTCACAAAATCAGCCAGAGAACCCAAAGACCCACTCCCATAGGCAAAAACATCCCCAGAAAGATGAAAGCTACACACTGAAAGGTTTCTTTTCCACCAGAAGTGACCTTCACTGATAGAGTCTAGTGTCTTACTAACATCCTGCTGAGTTCCTGGCTAAGATTTACAGAGCCATCCACAAAAATGAATTAAAAGCTAGCTAGCAGTATTACGGCAGGAACAAATCATAAATTGAACAACACAGAGAAATTTTCCACACTTTTCTCTCACACTGCGGTAGGGAAATTACTTTCTAGGGAAGGCAGCTTTTGATCAACTTTACTTGTCATAACACAGAAGCAAATAACACAGTACTTTGCATCATTGCTGATGCTTTGGATGTGTCACCTTTATACATGCAGAGATTGTATATTCTTAGTGTGAATCCATTCGGATTTTGGGAGCAGCAGATTTATTTGCAAACACTGCCATTATCTCCATGGTGATGCTGACAACAATTTTTAGTTTTTACACTGATCTCTAGGATTATAAATTCACTTCTACTATAAATTAGCTGCTTGGAAGGACACCCTGCAACAGGTTTCTTCAGGGTATCATTCCTACCTTCTGCATGCCATTTTCCAAAGGTATTAGAATGCCTGTCACATCTGCCTACTCACAAAGCTTTTCCATAGAATTACCATGATGAAATGAGCTATTGACAGGGGTGGGTGGGTGATCAGAGGAAACAGTGGGGACAGGAGAGGGTGTTATCTTCAGATCAAACTATTGCACAGTGAAGATGTGTCAGAAAGGTCTCAAATTTCACAGGTTAGAAATATAGATGTCCAATATATGTATATTACTAACTGTTCTAATAGTTTGCACTCTGATAATTTAGGAAGCAACACCACAGCTGTGCTGGGACGGAGGTGGGGTAGATAAATTGGACCATTTCACCGTCTGTGATTTTAGTCCACACCATTTGTTTTCACTGCATGAAAAATGCACTTTACATGCTGTACATGTGTAAACTAATGGTTCAGGCCAAAACATGTCTTCTTTTTCAGAAAGCTAGGAGAGGTCTGCAGTCAGGCTGGAAATGCTGCAATCTCAAGTCCAAAGAGTTTTCATCAGGTCAGCCTTTGGATGGTGGAGGAGGAGCTGCATTTGCTCCACTGCATAGCAGACAGGAGATAGAGACCTCTAGTCCCAGGGATGCTCTGAGATCCATGGGAGAAACTAGCATATGGATGCTTGGGGCATTCACATTAAAGCTATTCTCAGTGCTAACCTCAGGTCCCCTCTTCCTCATGGTAGCAGGACATGACAGGATCAGATTTCTCTTACATGAGGAAATCCCTTTGGGTTGGAGTTGGCCCTTCCCCACCCCACCACGTTTCCCAGAAACTAAGTATCCCCAAACATGCAGAGTTGTCATGAAACAGATTCTAGGATTGGAGGTGAGGCTGTGCTGACTGATCCCCCACCATTGCCACAGACTGTCGTCAAAGGAGTGAGTTTCCGACTCCTTTTATCCTCTCCATAGCACAAAGTGCAGAGATAATTTCACCCAAGGGCCAAATTTTTTTTTAAAAAAAAGTGCTCAAATTAGGACCTTACACCAATACTTGGGCAAAACAAGTGGTCTGATTCTGAAAATTGCTCAGCACCCAGCAGCTGCTGGTAAAACTGAGATTTTAATTTTAATTTCAATGGGCTTTTGATCAGAGCTATACATCTTCAAAAGCACTGTATAAACATTAGCTAACAAACTGTTTTCTCTAAGAATAGAACAGCATTGGTCTGTAAGACTAGGACCCTACTGTGGGTAGGCTTGCAGAGGCAGGTCTACAGCTAGTGCTAATTGAAAAGGAAACCCAATGGAAAGGGTGAAATCTGAAAAAATAAAGTCTGTCTGAAGATGTGACCATTTGGGGCCAGATCCTCCCCTGCTGTAAATGGGGTATAGCTCCACTGAAGACAACAGAGTTGCATAAATTTTCAATAGATGAGAATCTGGCCCTTTATTTTTTACTGATCTTGATTAATCTAAATTTTGAACAGTCATTTGCATTATACTATAGGTAAGCATTTTCGTTTTTTAAATGTTTATGTCTTTTAGTCTATTCTGCACTAGAAAAAGCAGCAACATTTCAGCCAAGCCAGCAGCAGATGAAACTTCCAGCGTAACGTTGTTAATAAAGGATGTGATTTTCAAAAGCTCCTAAGTGATTTAAGTCCCATTAAAAGTCAATGGAACCTGTATTCCTGTGATTGAGCTGCTTTGGAAATACCTCCCAAAGTGCTTCCCATATCTGCTGGAGGCTGCTTTCAATAGGCTATATCATTCATCATAAGGACTTCTACATAAAATCGATGATATGAGAGGAGGCCCATGGTATGCAACAGAATTTTGTTTTACCCATCAAGACATTGATCTTTAAGCCTTTGTTTGCATTGTTCTGGAGAGACTGGACACGTTACTAGTAGGACAAATACTGAACATCTGAACATCATTTTATAGTATATATGCAAGACAATGTTCATCTAAACCATAAAAGCCATGTAAAGAGACTTACCAATGTATTTTTCTTTTTTTCCTTAATATTTTTGTTGCCAAAAAGTCAAAAGTCTTGCCACTTGTATAATAATAAGCTTTGACAGAGAGAGAGAATATCTGAAATATACAGTAGCTTATTCTGAAAAGCTCACTCATTTTACAGTATATGGAATGTAATTGTCAAGAAAGTGAAATATGTATAAAAATAGGTAAAATCCCTACAATATTGTGCTGAATTATATATTCCTCTTGCCAGGAAGGTTACAGCACTCTACAGTATATGTATGAAATGTTTGTTCAGAAAGTTAAAAAACACTGTTACCTTGGTGAATGATATATTAATGTAGGAATGCATAATCAGAACTGATGCTCAATTCTGCTTCGCTGGTGCAAATGACCCAGACAACCATCACCCACTTTTGTTCAAAACAAAAATCAACCCCAAAGATTTTTTTTAAGGGGCCAAATTGAAATTTACAACCAATAATTCCTCTGGAAATAGAAGTATTTTCTTTCATTTTTTTCTCCCTCTTTCCAGTTTGTTTACTGACAGCAGTCACCCACCTTTTAAAATAATTATTGCCTGACATTAGATAGAGCTTTTACTGCTTGTCCAGGACAAGGCAGTGAAATAAAAAGAATATCCAACTTTCCTCTCATGACCCAGTTCTGGGCTTGTGCTTTTTTGACTAGTCTTTGATCTGCAGCAGGCCTCATAGGCTTGTCTCCCGAAGGAACATGGTGCCAATGTTGTAGGAAACCTTTCTCACTCTGGCAGACGAAATGGAGGGCTTTGGCGGCTTCTGACCACTTGTGACCTCCAGGAAGTAACAGATCCCAGGGATTTCCTTTGGAAAGTTGTCTGGAAGCTCTTCACGGGACCGAGGGATAAAAGTAAAGTTTTCTTCCTTTTTCAAAAGCCTAGGAAAAAACAAAGAGGCAATCAAGAATGATGTGGCCTGATAGTCTGAGTAAATCTTTAAAAGATAGTTCCTGTGCAACACCCAGTCAGAAACATCCTTAAATTATTGTGTGAATATTAACCAATCACAAGCCAGAATCCTGGTGTGGACAGACCTCAGTACTGATGCCAAATGATATTAATAAAATGATAACTTATTTTGTTTGATGTTAGGTCATTGAATACTAAGATATAGCTACAATTATGTTATAGCCAAGATACTTGAAAATATAACAGTATTTGTATGTGTTTAGTTAGTTATGGTATAAAACGCTGGCTGAAGAAATTGCAGGAGGTTTCTGCTTTCTGTCCCGAAGGACAAGCTAATGTCAGAAACATAACCCCTTCTTAGCCATAAAACCATGTTTATTACCCTCAGTACTATACAAACTCAGAAAATTGTAACTCTAAGCACCTTGACTCAAGAGCAAACAAACCATGTAAAACATTCATGTTTTAGGGGGAAATACTGATTGCACAAAGGAATACAGATTTGAGTTATCAGAGCAATAAGTCAAGAGGTAAAGTGGGTCTCTATCAACCCGCACGCTTTTGCGAGAAAAACCTCTTTGCTTAGGTCTTTAAAACTTTAGAGAAAAGATACTGGAAATACTTTAAACCTACTCTTTATTTCATAAATGTTGACATGGCGAACACTTTGGTGAAATGCATACTTGCAAATATGTTAGCTAAATGCAAAACTCTTAATATAATTTCCTAATGTCATTTCTATGTAAATGGTAAAAAGCTTTTATGTACCAACATGGATTCTAATAACCTAAACTAATTACTAATGTAATAAGCCATTTACGTATAGAATACTTATATTAATGGGAAATTAAGTAATTACTGGTAATTCTCAAGCAACTCCCTCACCTAACTCAGGAAGATGAAGAATCATCTCTCCAAAACTGTTATAAAGAATCAGCAACTTCTTTAACAATTATTAAGTTAAAGATTTTAAAAATTATTTAATTTTAAAGGATTGTTTTGAGAACTAAAATCATTTCTATAAATAATAGGAATGTTTGGACTTTTTGAAAACAGAATTTAATTTCCTGTTGAACTCGAATAAAATTGAAGGAATAGCTCTGAAAATGGATTGAGTAAAGAGAAGGTAAACTCTTAACTTTAAAGGGTTATCTGGAATGTTCCTGCCACAAAAATAACAGGCAATTTGAAATGTTTCATTTTCTTTGAACAGATGACAGTCAGGAGATGAAGGTGCCAGCTAAGACAACCTTAAAAAGCATAAAGAAAAGGAGTACTTGTGGCACCTTAGATAAAATTTTTCCACTCCATACGGCTAAATGCAGTGCCTTGCATAATGACAGGTTTCAGAGGAACAGCCGTGTTAGTCTGTATTCGCAAAAAGAAAAGGAGTACTTGTGGCACCTTAGAAAAAAATTTTCCACTCCATACGGCTAAATGCAGTGCCTTGCATAATGACAGGTTTCAGAGGAACAGCCGTGTTAGTCTGTATTCGCAAAAAGAAAAGGAGTACTTGTGGCAGACCACCTGGAACATCTACAAAAAGTCCTTGAGCGCATAAGGGAGGCAGGACTAACTGTTAAGGCTAAGAAGTGTCAAATAGGCCTAAACAGAGTGACTTACCTTGGACACCAGGTGGGTCAAGGAACTATCAGCCCCCTACAGGCCAAAGTGGATGCTATCCAAAAGTGGCCTGTCCCAAAGTCAAAGAAACAGGTTCAATCCTTCTTAGGCTTGGCTGGTTATTACAGACGATTTGTACCGCACTACAGCCAAATCGCTGCCCCACTGACAGACCTAACCAAAAAGAAACAGCCAAATGCTGTTCAGTGGACCGGAAAGTGTCAGAAGGCCTTTAACAAGCTTAAAGCGACACTCATGTCTGACCCTGTACTAAGGGCCCCAGACTTTGACAAACCGTTCCTAGTAACCACAGATGCGTCCGAGCGTGGTGTGGGAGCAGTTTTAATGCAGAAAGGACCTGATCAAGAATTCCACCCTGTAGTGTTTCTCAGCAAAAAACTGTCTGAGAGGGAAAGCAACTGGTCAGTCACTGAAAAAGAATGTTACGCCATTGTCTACGCTCTGGAAAAGCTACGCCCATATGTTTGGGGACGGCGTTTCCACCTGCAAACCGACCATGCTGCACTGAAGTGGCTTCACACCGTCAAGGAAACTAACAAAAAACTTCTTCGGTGGAGTTTAGCTCTCCAAGATTTTGATTTCGACGTCCAACACATCTCAGGAGCTTCTAACAAAGTGGCTGATACACTCTCCCGTGAAAGTTTCCCAGAATCAACTGGTTAAAATCGTCCTTGAGATGTGGAAAATATTGTTAGTCTTTATGTACTTGGTAGTATATTTAGAGATGCATGTGTCTTATAAGTACTCCTTTTCTTTTTGCGAATACAGACTAACACGGCTGTTCCTCTGAAACCTTAAAAAGCATGAAGCCAATGAAAGAGTGACAACCAACTTGGAATCTAAACAAAGCCAAAAGAGTCCTGTTTTTATATAATTTCATGGAATGAAAAAGGAAAAGAGTATTAAAAACCCTGCAGTGACCACTCCTCACACAGATACACCCTCTGCTACCCTGTTTAAACAGCAAGCAATTCACAATTCATCCTGTCCATTTCTACAAGAAAGCTACTACACAGACAAGAACAGAGAAGACACAAGAAGAAACCATCCAAGGAAAAGTTCCCCAAAACTTCAACATAGATTGGTGAGAGTGCTTACTTTGTGCATCTATAAACTCTTATTATAAAGACCAAAAGGAAATTCCAAATGAAATTATTTTGCCCATCTATATCTAAGATTGGCTACAAAATAATTTGTGGGAATCAGATCTTGGTCTCAACTTACCAAGAGAAAAGTGCCCCATGAAAGGCTGGTCCATTCTTAAAGGTGTAATCTCTGCTAAAAGCACTCCAAAGAGAAGCATACAGAAGAAATTGTAACAGAAGTAATCAGTTTATAATTTGTGTTGTTTTCTTTAATATCTCCCCTTTCTTTAATAATAAAATAGTCATGGTAAATAATTGTGCTTATTTTGCTAGGTCTCAATCATGGGGTTGGCTAAGGTATGTAAAAGTAACCCTGTGACTGCAATAGTAGAAGTCACACCACTGAGCTGGCAATAAAAGAAACAATTCGAGGTGGCCTGTCATTTCTTGTTTCTCTAAACTAAAGACTTTTAATATTTTCTATTTGTGAGCTGGGCTCTGCCATAGTGGCGGCCAACATCTCAACAGCCCATTTCTGTGGGTAGAAAAGGAAATTCTGCATGCGCATTAATTTCTGCAAAATTCTGCATTGCACAATGGCACAGAATTCCCCCAGGAGTAATCTACTTTCCTGTAGCTATGGCCACTATGCCCCAGGCAAGAAGGGGCAATGGTACAGACGTGCCTATACTGGCTTTTTGTCATCTGAGGTTTCCTCCCATAGCACAGAAATCCTCAGCTGGCCAGAACTGCAAGCCTTGTGGCCCCTTTGTCAAATGACTTTCCTCAAATAAGTTATTGATATAGAAGATATAGTCCCAGAAAAATAAAGAAGTCTAGCACTCCTCCCATCCCCTGTCCCAAGACTGAGTGGGAAAAGAGAGAGTAGTAGGTAACTCCAAGGAAGAATTTTAACAACCACCATCATCACAACAGCTCAGACTTGTTCTATAAATCATCTTCCTGTTATATTCAAGCTAACAAAGACAGTGAAGAAAGTGGAATTCAGCCTTGCAGGGTTTTGAAGAACATTACATTGGAGTCATGGTGAATTCTTAGAAATAAGAAAGCAGCTTGTGCCTTTCCCTGCCAGGATATTTATTATCTCTCTGAAAGCCTTATCCAAAGCCCACTGAAGTCAACTGAAAGAATCCCATTGGCTCCAGTGGGCTTTGGAACAGGTTCTATATTCCCTTCTCTTATTGTTCCCAAAACTTAGTCATGGGAAGCTGTAAAAGGAATACTGCTCCAGGTGAATTTTCCAGGCTTCCCAGCACATTCTAAAACTTTCCCCTTGTCCTGAAATCCCAGAATGTCTATTATCATGGCACACAAGCTGCCCCTTGTTTGGGTTTTGTCTGAAGTATGGATCTCTGCTCTAACTACTTCCTATGTGCATCTGAAGGCATTTTCCTTCCATTGCTTTAGAATCAGGCTGGTTACAAATCTAACCATGTTTTTGCCTTCAGTCTCTGCTATGGTGCTTGTTATCCGGTGGTTTGCGTGTCATGATCTGTTTTCCAAGTCTTCAATTCTATGATCAAAATACTATAATCTTTTCTGAATTGCTTGAAAGCCTGTGCTGGCCTCTACAGAGGAGACTTTCTCCTTTAATTTCAGCAATGCTTGCAGTAAGTGTTCCTAGCTTTAAATCTACTGGTTTAATAGATTGCAGGAACTTTTCTCTGGCCCACAGATTTCCCACCCAGATTTCTGCAAGCAGTAGCAGCTCTTGGAATATTCTCAGAGTGAAATCTGCAAGCTCCCTCTGCTCAATCCTTGCTGAATTCTGTATATTCACTGAAAAGCACTTGGCTTTGTTGAAGTCAAGGGCTTCCTGCCTTGGAGTCATTTTAACTTTATGGGTGAGTTGTGTAGTCCCAATGACCTTTCACTTGTGGTTTTAAATTAAAAAAAAAATGGTGCTTTTAAAATATTAATGTAGAAATGAGCAGATTCGAGCTGGGAGAAAATCAGTAGTGGTATATCTTGCATCTTGTGTTGCCATTTGGGCCTTGATCTTTGCAACTTACTATGCTGTATTTAACCTGGGTTAATGAACACCCATGTGCAGGACTGGGGCCTTACACCTGTGCAAAGTGGGTGAGAAATGTTACAATTTTGAGTGTCAATGATGGCACAAGGTGCAAAGAAATGAAGAATCAAGCTCCAGAAGTTATGAGCTGGTGCAAGTTGCTGGAAAATTGCAAGTGGAACCAATAGGAGGGTGTTAAAAAGTG